GTGAGATCATGCAACCACCACATCAGGCGTTGAGTTTTGGGCAAGTGAGAAAAGTCAGTTGGTAAGGCTGTGATTCTTAGTCAATTTAGATGGTTAGAGTATATGCTACGTATCCGCAGTCACCATCCACCCCGTCGAGCAATGTTGGCTGAAATATGTTCAGGCTGGAAAAAGGCGCTGGACGGTCAGACTAAGACATGAAGTCCTTGACTGTTGGTTTGAGCCATGTAGGGAGATGCAGACTTGCCGGTTGGGGTTCGTGTGACAATAGAAACCAGTAGTTGAAGACTCTGGGTAATACGGCTCAGAATCAATGTCAGTGGCGCAGATGTACGCATACTTTATCTTCACCCTAACTGCTATGCTGAATTTAGCACCTTTTTATTCCTCCTTCCTCTCGTTTAGTGCACTCTAATGCTTCCAATCGATTTTTTTTCTTATCTTTCATCTTTCTACTTTGTTGCCAGCTGCGTTGATGAGAAGTGTCGCTACCTAGACTATTACGTAGTAATGCCTAAGTTGATATTGACTGGTTGGATCTTCGTGATATGGCACGGGATCTACCCCAATGGTACAGATGCACCCACGAATCATCTTCATCTTGATGTTCATGCAGAATTTTATCACTTTCATTGCTCCTTGTTGTTTTCACGACTTCCAAGCACTTTGACTACTTTCTTTTTTATTTCTCCAACTTTCATCTCGGTGAATTTTTGCTTGTGTTGATATGAGGGGTGACAAATTGAACCGCTACGCAGAAATGCTAGATCTTATGTTAATATTGTCTGTCTCTGTAATTTGGAATGATGTAACTCCTCAAGTGAGCAAAGTGGCCAATCCATTAAAAGACTGCATTCCCTATTCTTACAATGACTGCGGATTAGTCCTGAAGCATCACAATATTTTGCAGGTCTGAAATGCGTACCAGACTATTCACATTACAGTTCAAGGCGTCAAGAAGACTCTAAATTTTGTCAGCGTTCTCAACTAATAGAAGTGTTATCTGCGGTACTTCAAGTCAATCAGATGTCCTCCTGAGAATAAGTCCATCTACATGAATTCTGAGGTACCTAGGGTTATATCCATTATCAAATCTACAACAAGGCCAAACATGAATGGTAAAATTCGGTATTGTTGGCGGACACCATTGCTTGTCGCCAGTTGCGGTGATAATTGTTCATAAGCACTCAAACGACTGAATCAGTTCGAGTAAAGAGACCTGATTGGAATACTTGTTCGGTATTCCCTTCAGAGTTAGATACCGTCACAAAACCCATTGGTTTATAAAGTCGGATTCTGCTTTCAAGTCAAGAAATATAACGTGTTGGGTGGTGGTAAGTATACTTGTGTTCCAAAACCTGTCTAAAAGTGAAGCTTTGATCACTGGACCCTTACGTAGGTGTGAAACCACCCTTTTTCACGAGTAAATTGTTCTAGAGCTCCATTTAGGCCTCAGATAACTGTGAACCCTAAGATATTAAGTACGATGTATTATTATTATCAGAACACAAACATGGTACAGCGACGCCACCGACAAATACACCATATTAAATAATGTGACACTATTTGGAAAACATAAAGCAAAAGGAAGTGGATAAGTAAGAAAGAAAAACACAATAAGAATACAATGATTAGAAGGGAAGTCCAGTAACACATTCAAAACAAAACATTCATTACTTTTCAGCAGCAGAAGACAGAAGGAAGCTACAGTATGACCGCCACCGATTTCCATTCTCAACCTTATCTGATAACGTCCTAAGCAACTGAGTTGCATGGTCTCTCGGACCCCACCCACGGAGTCGTGATGCACCAATAGAGGCTAACTCAATGCAACTATCCTCCATCCATCTCACAGTGACACATCATACACTGACCACCCCTCCGCTTCTTGCATTTAGCTCCAGGGCTAGCAAACAATAAACAGTAGGCAAACCGAAAGATGACACCAGGTAACACATGTCCAACCCACCAAACCCAGTGTTTCCACATGACTTGACTCGGTGAATGACAATCTTCATCCTGTCTAGACACACGCTGTCGTACCTCACAATTACTTACGAGGTGTTGCCACCGGACACGAGCAATACAACGCAGACAACGATGGTTGAACACATAGAGTCGTCGCATATCCTCAGCTAGGAGAGGCCAAGTTTCACAGGCGTAGAGTAGAACGGCTTGCACCAAAGCGTTGTAAGCCTGACCTTCTACGGTCAGACTAACGTCACGATGGCGTCAAAGGTGGCTCAGATTGGTGTATTTCACTCTGGCTTTAGATATGCGGTTATAGATTTCATTATTCACACAACCACCCGGATACACGAACTTTTTGACTACTTCCAACGTCTCACCACCGAGAGTGGGCGCAGACGCAGGCTCCTGCCAATCTTGCAGAAATACTCCGCACTTTGATGGTGCAAAGTAAATACTATACTTACGGAAGCTAGTCTATCAGATTCCCCTTTTTGTCTTAATTAGAATGATAGGGCATATGAACCAGTCTGATGGGACTACCTTCGATTTCCATACATAAACTAGGTAACTGAAGCGTGGCTGAATGCCAGTTGAACTGCTCTATCCAAAGTTTTGGTTACCTATCTTAAGAAGTTGTCGGTAACTCATCCTTCCCCATAATCGTCACATTAATTGGTTTGCTTGCCACCTTGCTTGATAAATCTGAATAATTACCAACTACGCCTCTCCATCATTTCCGCTTTTGCCACCACCACTAATCAGGATCATTATGAAGACTCCTACTCAATTTACTGTTAAGTTGCTTTCACTCATGGTCACAGGTAACTACAGTGAGTTATACTTTACCAATCCGTTCGTTGCCTGTACCGATTAGAGTGCAAACACAAACATCCTCGTACTAACACGTGATCAAAGTCTGGATACGTACTCCAAAAACGGCAGTAATTATACACCAATTGACAGCTCATAGTAATACGATCCATCTGGCCTGATCATTGGTTTGATATCTGACGCCAAATGAGATTGTCTTCTATGTGAGAAGTATGTGCTTGCTAAAAACAAGTGGTTATTAGAACAAAATTGTAAGAGACGATCGGTGCTGCTGGTCTGTCGCCCATGAAATGGCGTGTTTCTTAAAAGGCGTTTTCGCCTAATTCCAATTCCTGACAACCGCTGAAGTTGTCTCCTACTATGGCCATATCTAAATGTTTAGCAAAACTGACAGCTTTTGGTAGAACTCTTTTTACGTTTCATCCGGTGGGTGGAGACTACCAACAGGCATAGACGAGTGTCACCGTTCGAGAGTGCATAAACGGCTTTTGACTGATATTCAGCCAGGCTTAACAGTAGCGTGTTCACGAAAGCTAGTCACTGGACCTTCGGACACTCGTAAAGTGAATTTTGAAGATTCGCTGCACTGTCAAAGTCAAGTTAATGACCACACTCCAGTCCTGTATACATGTTTCAAAAACAATACATCCACAGCTGGAAATGACAAAGTTTTAGCAAGAGATACCTGTTTTCCGATTCGGCATACGGTTCAGACGTTGAAATCTCAAAAGTGAAATAAACACCATGGTCTTAGGAAACTAAGAATGGTTTCCTGCTGGCTTGGATAGCAAAGGTCAAAGGGTGGGGTTGAAGAAACTAAATGGGGCTTAACGCTGGTATCACAAAGTGGGAGGCAGCTGGCAGGCAAGGGTAAGGAAAATTGGTTACGGATAGTCGAACTTTGTACGTTGCTGGAGCCGTATGAATGATTGAAACTTCCTGGCAGCGTGTACCATGAAACGTTTTGGAACGCATCCGAAAAAGAAAACACTGGTTTCGCGTGGCCGCAGCGATAAGAAGAAACCTGGGGCCCGTGACAGCGCTATTTATAATCTTGAGTAAACATATCACTTTGCTGCCACTATGAGACAAAAATCTACACCAACAGCCCAGGAAAAATGTAGAACGGAAAAGTTTGCTTTTATCGGGGCCGACATTTCTAGCTCCTTCCTATGGGGAAGCCAGTACGTGCACGGACTTATGGCCGAAGTTGAAAAACACCTTGCTGTTGTCACAACCCATCAAGACAGCAGTACGACTTTAACCTGGGACCCTCACTATAGTGTACTCCACCTACACTGACAACAACAATAACACGTTTCAGTCTCATCACTACGTAAAGTAGCAGTCACATTAAACACATTTAAAAGGTTTTCAATACTTTTCAAACGTAAATGTGTTGAATATTAACGTGCGGAAAAATATCAAAGTGAGAATGCCACCATCATGTTCATTACATCCCTTAGTGCTATGAAACATTTCGAAATGAAACGAAATCTAGCCACTGAGTTAATTTCTTTAAAATAACTCTATCGATTAAAAACTAGAATCGATAAAAATTGACGTTTAGAAAAGCAACAAGTTACAGCAAATTTACACCACTTAGCTTTCCAAGAAGCTATTGGACTCATTTTGATACATACAGCTGGAAACAAGACAGTGTCATTCTCTAACCAAATATATGCTTTTGGATAATAACTGAAAAATGAAGCTTGGAGTAATGAGGACAAAATATCTTAGATGTATTGTTCCATATTCCATCTTAAGTCGGAAAATTTTTGTGCTTCATCAGGATTATAAAAAACGTTTTAGACTACCAACAATCACCAAAACTTATGAGAAGCGGATTCCCAAAAATGTAGACGACCCCAGTAATATGGTGTTCAGTGAATTTATAGACATTCAAACCAAGTTGGAATCCTACGGTTTGAAGAAATTTGGGTACTTGGAAGATGATATTCATTATTTTGGTATTTCTATTTCGCAATGGGTGTGAAAAAAAATAAATTTGTCGAACTGAAATTTTGCTATTTAATGCTAATAGCTTTATCAAAGTTATAACTTAAATGCTGTTAGCACAAAATAGTAAAACACCAGTTAGAAGAAATTTACCTCATTTTAAATTCATTGAGAAATACAAGTACCGAAAAAGAACTGTAATAATATATTATGCACTAAACAGCCTTTAGAAAACTCACCAACAAGTCTTGTTTGGATTCGAACGAAAGAATAGAGAAACCGTCAATCAACACTTCATTGTATTGCTTTGGGTCAGCTGAGGTCTCATTTGATACACCGCTTTGCGGTCTTTCACTTTTTCCGTGATCTTCGCTTTTAATAGATCCCAGCTCGTTATCGGTGCATAATTCCTTTGGCGCTGCAGCAGACAAATCCGGATTTTCTCCATCTTCAACTAGTCTTTCACTCACGTTTTGGTCTACATGTTCGAAGGACAAGCAAACAGAGTTGGGTATTTCCAAAGCTGATGCGATCAATCCATTCTTTGAAAGATTATATCCAAGAGGATTGTGTGAACTAATTGCAGAATCAGAACCCATAACAGGTCTGTCTATACTAATCTCATGATTTGCCAGTTTATTCTGATTATCAGCCAAGTACTCCTTAACATCCACAGTATCTGAAGCTGTCGGACCCTTTGGCATCACGAATATAGGAGAAAGGTTTCCATTTAAAACCGAAAATCCTTCTCAAATTTTTAGTGCAGAAATAAGAGAAGCAAAATGAATATGGTGTCTGGAAAACCCATTTTCAATACCAGCAGTAATGTGGTGCTCCGTGATAAAGTCAACAGTATGAAAAACAGAAAAAGCAACACACGTATTTGATTCTCCCACACAAGGACTTGGATAACGATTTATGATTCCTTCTTATAAAGAGTAACTAGATTTAAAATAATCGCATGAATGCTACCGTTCTTAAAACTGTCCTATACTTTCAGCTTCTGGTAGACAGTGAGTTCTCGCGGATAATTCAAACTTTGAGGCAACAGTCAGTTGAGTCTATGGGTCATTCCGCCTGCAAATGAAACGACCAGTTGGGCTAATTTTAACAGATCCTATCAGTTATTACAGCTGTCGACGTAGTGGTCTGCAGAGTTACTCAAATCTGACAACTAATGAAAACATATGAAACAGATATTTGCTTATCACTTTCTTCTCCTTCCGATATATTCTTGGACATACGTACGGGTATCATAAAGGACAAACCAGGTATGAAATGGAGAAAACTTTCATTACTCATCTATTATCTCGGTGTCAAATACACCCCAGAAACTGAGGTATTAAATTCAACTATAATAGGAATTCATGATGAGCCTCTTTGTTTCACTGAATTTATCTGGCTGCATTTGCGTTTTCAGGTATCCACAAAACTTAGCATAACGTTCTGCTACTTTTATGCCCTTAATTACAATCATTAGAGAGTTGCCTCTCCTGCAGCGTCACACACTTCTCCAGAATCAATAGCCTAGGGTTCGACGCGATTCAACATTGGTGATGACCCTCATAGTTTTACCGGACTCGCCAAGCTGATGGAGTCCAGTCAAGCATCCTTGCCATTTGGCACGCTGTCGTGTTACGCTGCACTGCTCACAATCGTCAGTCTAGCCAGTTAGTTGGAACGCATCGGTATCTTGGCGTGACCTCGCAAATGTACTATTCCGTCCGACTACGCTATTGCGTTCTTTTTGGCCTCGTATTTGTGGGTAAAAACCAAGTTCGAATAATTAATGATTGGCCTCCGTGTCTGTTAAGTTTGCACTAAGACAATTCCTTTACTGCTGAGCCAGACGTAACAACAAATCTTGACAAAAAACAAATCTTGAATTGGCGGGCCCATTCATTTTTTCCCACGTATATTATTTTGACCTTGATAACCTTTATATATCTATGTACAACTCCTTCCCATGTCTGACCATACTCGAAGATTATCCGTATTAAGCCGATGAAAAGCACTATCCAGCTGGTGTCATACTGGCCAGAATATGCAGAAACATGATTTCTCCATGCCGAGGCAAATTTTCGAGAGCAGGGAGTCGCAGACTCTCGTTCTAGATTTCTTGCTGTCATCCATTTTTTACCGCGGGAATTAAACAGGCACGCCACAGCGCATATGTTTAGTCCTGAAGTAAGTGATCCCCATGCATTTCTCAAAGCTGCACTTCTGACGAAAAGTGATCGCCAGCGCCTAGACGAATTGCTTCGCAACGTCGAGCTAGGCAGCAACTCAGCCATTGAAGTCCTCGCATGCACGCGAGAGGTTGTGGGTGCACGAGAGTTCGATAACGGCCTTTTCCGAGAACCGTTTCTCTCAAGACTGCTACAACCCGTGCAAACCGTGCTAGTGACACTTCAGTCAGTTACACTCGATGGCTAGGAGGCCTCAGGAGATAAAATACTGGAGATCTCTGGCAGTCCCGTCTCTAACTTATACTCTACCTGCGATAAACCTGTGGGCCAGGATTCAGAAGTAACGAAGCTGTGAAACTCTGTTAAACAGCTGCTACGAACTCGAAGCCCTAGGTCACGCAGCACATCACAGAAACGCATCTCAGCCCATTTGGCAACCCGGGTGGTTATCCAAAAACTAATAAGGTGGAAAACACCAAATGGTGCCGGTTGCACAACACCTACGGCGACGAAGCCAGAACATGCCGGAAGCCATACAGTTTTAATATGGACACAAACTCAGGAAACTGTCAAGCCGGCACGCATTCACGGCAACCGCAGACGGCGGAGACAGCCGTTCGCCTTACGTATCAGGCATAAAAACGAAAGTTCGCTACCTCACCAACGCCCGCTCAGAAGTTAGCGTCATCACGACCCATCCTTCTAACTCCAGGCGGCTGATGGCGAGACAATCGCAACATTTGGGAGACAGCATGCCTATTAACGGGATTTCCCTCCTGGCCAGCGTTTATATACCCACCATTCGCGTAGACTCGCTAAACCATTACGATCTACTGGTAGACACTTGTTGTCGACGTCTGATAGATAGCAACACAAAGTTATCTATTGGTGGCACCACCTACGTAGGTCTGAGTTAAGCCGTCGCTGGGACTAAACAACCAGGGACGCGTCCTGTCAGGTGGTGTTGGAGAAGTATCCAGGGTTACAACAGCCGAAGCATACTCTTCTGTGCATAACTGGCGATGTTATGCATCACGTCACAATCACAGGTCCGCCTGCGGCATTCGGAGAGCGTCATCTAGCTCATGATAGGCTCAAAACGGCGAAAGGCGAATTCGACCACATGCTCGAACTGGACATTGTCAAACCTTGAGCGTCGCCACTGCATATGGTTCCCAAGAAGGATAGCAACGGCTGGCTTCCAACCGGTGATTACCGAAGGCTCAAAGCCAAAGCAACACCGGGCTGCTACCCGATACCTCATGTTTAGGACTTAACTGTACTTTGTATTCAGTAGACTGAGAAGACATGGTATCATAGCCAACTTGCAGAAGTGTGAAATAGGAGTTGAATCGCTTAGCTTATTTGAGCATACTACTGACAAAATGGGTATAAACCCACTGAGAGATAAACTGGCGGCTATCATGAACTATCAACAGCTGACCACTGTGAAGCAGCTCCGCACGTTCCACGGCCTGGAAAGTTATCACCGAAGGTTTAGTCCCAGCTGTGCCTCTGTCATGGGACCGCCCACAGATCTACTCCGAGAGAATGCGAAGTGCGTCACTCTTGACGGGGTGGCTAGAGTTACCCTCTCTAAAGTCAAGGAAGCCATATCAAACGCAACCACGTTCATGCATCACGATCCCAATGCTCCTTTGAACACTGCTGTCGACGCAACTGACTCAGTAATTGGAGCAGTTTCGCAACAGTTGACTGACAATCAGTGGCAACCGTTAGCCTCTTTCTCCAGGTGGCTGCAAGACGCGGAAACAAGATACAGTGCACTTGGTAGGGAACTCCTAGTTATGTACTGTTCTGCACGCCATCTTCGACATTCGGTGGAAGGTCGTGACTTCACCATTTTCACAGACCACAAACCGCAAACCTTCTTAACTCGGCATCTGACAAATGCTTCCCTCGTCAGTCGCGATAACCGGATCACAATTCCAAGTTTACGTCAAATATCCGCCACACCTCTGGTACGAATAACCCCGTAGCCGGCGCACTATCTCGAATAGCATCGATAAACTGTATCGAGGGAGTTGATCTCGTCGAACTTGTTCGGTGTCAAAAAGAAGACCTTCAGTTGCATCATGAGTTGTCGTTCGCAACCCTCAAGCTACAACTGTGTCCATTAAGGTCAGGTAAGGTCACAATTTTATGCGATATCTCTGCTAGTCAACCATGCCCAATAGTTCCCAAGAGATGTCGACGCAGCGTCTTCAGTACTTTGCACAAACTGCTCCACCCAGGTGTACGAGCCACCATCAGGCTTGTTGCACAACGTTTCTGCTGGCCAGGAATAAACAAAGACAATGAGGAGTGGGCTCAGTCGTGCTTAGATTGCCAGAAATGGGAAGTCGCGTGATACACGAAAAGCCCTCTAGGTTCTTTTCTAGCCCCAGGCGGGGGTTTTAACTATGTTCATTTAGACACTAGGACCTCCACCAGAATCTAGTGGATGTGCTCACCTTTTCGCTTGCGTGGATCGTTTTACGCGATGGCCAGGAGCAGTACTTACTAAGGTAATTACCGTTGAAGCTGTTGCTCGTGTTTTTGTGGAAGGATGGATCGCGAACTTTGGATGTCCACCTTACGCAACAACCAAACTTGGGCGACAATTCAAGCGTGGATTATTCCACGCTTTAGCTGCGCCTTTAGGTTTCACTCGGTTTCGAATGACAACCTACGACAGCTTCCTTTGCAGCTGCTAATATACCTCAGTGGACTGACGCTCCGTTTCTAGCTCTACTGGGTATTCGTAACTAGTTGAAAGCTTACGCTGAACGCACTTCTGCAGAACTCGTCTATGGTACTAGTCTTCGCCCACCAGGTGTTACTGTTTCCCCTTCCACTTTCAAACGTGTTTTCGATAAGGCATCTTACGTGACTGGGCTTATGAACGCAATGGGTTCGGTTAGGCCTTCTCCCATTGGACCTAAGGGGATTGATGTCTTCACTTACACTGTCTTACAAAAGACATCACATGTGTTCATTCGCCACGATGCCGTTCGTCGACACTTGAGCGACCTTACGATGGGCCATTCATAGCGATAAAGCGACATGAGAAATTCTGTATACTTGAGCGAAACAGATGTGAAGATACCATTAGCACTGACCGTTTGTAACCGGCTTATTTCGAAGGCAACCCCATCATAAGCGATGTTCCAGCTCAATACAGCCGACCGGCGGATAACCCAGTCATCGAAATTTTTGATGATGTGCCCGGTAATGCACAGATACAACAGCCACCGGCGCAACAAAAACACAATCACATCGAAACCGTCAGGTTGCGGAGTATTTGAAGCCGTATCCAGCTAGGTGGTGAGAAATAAAACACACCAACCACTTTTTAATCCAAAATTATTTTTTTCGAGGCACTGTATTTGTATTTACTGGGAATGCAAAATGTTCGCACATTTTGCCATTTCATACCAATGTTTTACTACTGCGTAATCATACTTTTTAATAAGCATAACTTTATCTTCGAGATATTTATGTATAGATAATTCCCATTTTTAAGTAACGTTTTCGGGGCATTAAGGACTTATTTATATTCCAGGTGCAACGAGCACTGAACGCCAAAGGATACTGAGGATTGCGATCGACGTACAATTCGACCTATTGTATCATATTTTTTGGTCGCCATGAAACCCTAGAGTAAGTTCAGACAACCGGGGTCCACTTCACACAGTGAGCCCATCGGAAGAGTTTCACAAGTGGAGAAACCACTGGATTTTC